TCTGCATCAGTAAAGGCTTCCAGCTTCATGTGACCATGCTTAGCAAATAGAATACCTTTCCCYRGAGTACCTTTCAAGTAGCACAGAACCCTTTCTGCAGCAACTAGATGAGTATCTCTGGGAGAATGCATAAACTGACTAAGAACACTCACTACATAGGAAATATCTGGCCGAGTCATACAAAGGTATAACAACTTCCCAAGCAGTCTCTGAAACACTCCCTTATCAGACAACGGTGCACCATTTGTGGCAGAAAGCTTATGATTAGGATCAATGGGAGTGGTGATGGGTTTAGCTCCAAGTTCACCAGTGTCAGCAAGAAGATCAAGGACATACTTGCGCTAAGATATGAATATACCATCCTTAGATCGAGCAACTTCAATGCCCAAGAAATACCGAAGATCTCCCAAATCTTTAATTTCAAATTCAGAGTAGAGAAATTCTTTTAGCTTACTGGCCTCTTCAATGTCATTACCCGTGACCACAATATCAACATAAACAATCAAGAAGGTCACCAAAGAGTCATTTCTCTTCAAGAAGAGTGTATGATCAGATTGTGTTTGAATGTAGCCAAAGGAGACAAGAGCAGCCCGAAATCTCTCAAACCAAGCCCGAGGAGATTGTTTGAGACCATAAAGGGATTTGTGTAGTTTACACACCTTGCCTTTCATCTCTTTCCCATACACTYYTGGAGGTAGAGACATATAAACCTCTTCATGCAAATCTCCATTCAAGAAAGCATTTTTAACATCAAACTGGTGAAGGGGCCAGTCAGAGGTAGCTACTAGAGAAAGCAAGACCCTAACTGAAATCATCTTAGCTACAGGAGCAAAAGTTTCAAGATAGTCAATGCCATACATTTGGGTGTAACCCTTGGCAACCAACCTAGCCTTATACCTCTCAACCGAGCCATTAGAGTGATATTTAATGGTAAACACCCATTTACACCCCACTGGTTCCTTCCCTTCCGGCAAGTCCACAACATCCCAGGTATGGTTCTTATGTAATGCTTCAAGTTCAGTHATCATAGCATCCYTCCATTYARGTTGAGACAATGCTTCCGGTACAGACCTGGGTATCACATGTGAAGAGACAGAAGCAAGAAAGGAATAGTAGGAAGGAGAGAGAAGGCTGTAAGATAAATGTTTGGAGATGCAATGGGCTGTACACTTCCGCTTGCCCTTGCGAAGAGCAATAGGAAGGTCAAGGTC